CAGCGGATGCCCTTCCAGCCACAACCCAACACTGGGAAACACCCATACACTCTCACATTCACACACATACACTATGGCTAATTTTGTTTAACTAATTCACTTATACGTTATGTCTCTGGACTGTGGGTGAAACCAGAGCACCCGAAGGAAACACACATAAACATGAGAAGAACATGCAAACTCCACACATAAATGTCAACTGGCCTAGCTGGGACTCGAATCAGTGACTTTCTTGCTGTGAGGTGCCAGTGTTAACCACAGAGCTACTGTTTGTTACAATAAGTACTTATCCATTGGCTTCAAGTGCTTATTCTTTTTAGAGTACCTTTTTGAAATAATAAAACGTATTAATTAAATGCTTATTAATACTTAAAGATAATAGTACATATTATTAGACAGTAATTGATTTTAGATATTTATTTATTAGACACTAATACTTATTTTAATAGCGACTTCCTATAGGACTGGGTACTGAGAATTGGTTCCTGTTCAGCACATGTTTTGTTTTCAAAAAGAAACTGGAACCATCTGAAATTGTTAGCTTTTGTTTCTAAAAGCAGATCTGATTAAACACATGAGTAGAGCTCTGGGAACAGACAGTAGTTACCTCATGGATGTTTATCAAATAACTAGATAATTGTACTTCTTGTCAAACAATAAACAATGAAGTGAATGAAAATGTCGATTAACATTACATTTTAGATGTCCAAAATTATGTGGAACCCTCACAATACTCTAGCAAGAAAAGGCACAATGCCATCAGAGATAACAGAATGGCTGTAACATTCTTCTTTCACAGTGGAGTTCTCATGGTTCATGTACAGTGCTCAGCTTGTATGAGTACTTTAAGCTGATGAGTGTATGAGTACTGGCTTTAATAGGAAGCCATATTATATTTGTGTATATAGATTAGAATAGTCAGTACTGAAGCCAAATCTGGAGCTAATCTAACAAAATAACTTACAATAACTACTAGTACACACAAATATATATGTTATAGAAAAATATTAAATACAACTTTAAAATAAAAAAAGGGGGGGGGGGGATGAAATGTGAAATTCTTTTTAAATTTTGTAGGTTGTCATTTTGTCAATATTTTTCTTGAATTTAATTGTATTTTCTTGCTATTTCTAAATATGCTTGGTGACTAAAATATTATTTTAATATATATATCTGTTTAATAAATCTGTTTTGTTTAAATGCATGAAAATACATTGCCTATATTCACTGAGAAATGGATACAAATATTCATTTTCAAAATGGGGTGTACTCAGTTATGCTGAGCACTGTAGGTGTTTGAGCATATATGCAGTTGCATTTCTGTTTATGCATCTCAGTGCTTTATTTTATAATTGTAGAAATTTTGCATAGCTCACTTTTCTCACGTTGTTGTACTTGTGATGCAGAGCTCTTGGGTTTGAGATTGGCAAAACACGCTTCCACTAAAAATTTAATAAAAGCAATGTAAAGTCAAACTAAATTAGCTCTTTTGGTTGCTTTTGACTTGGTTAGGTTCAGGGAAGGGTTTAGGTCAGTCTGTTACAAACCCCTGATGTTAGTCTAGGGAAAAGTGGGGTTTGACATTTATATGTAAATAAAATTAATTTATACAAATAGTGAATAAGAGCAAAAGACAACCAAAGTAGATACCAAAAATATTTGACTTTATTCACAATACCCAAAGGTGAAAAAACTATGAATTAATTAAAATAAAGAAAAAGTAAATATACTATACTATACTAATATATATAACACTGAGACAAATACAAAGACGGGGAGAAAACAGGTGAGCTGGCAGAAGGAACACAGGCGGCACTAAAGAAATAAAAAGAACAAAACCTTAGCTAAATCTAACTTTTCTGAAGCATCTAATTAACTAACTAAGTGAAAACAAAATAATTAACACGCAAATAGTCTTCAGAGTCCTAACTATCTACTATCTATCCATCTATCAAAAAAGTACAAGGGGTGGCGCTCGTCTCTAAAGCCTAATGTAATATAAAGAAGAATAGTCCTAAGTGTTGCAAAATGCATGTCACAAAACCTTCTTACCTGTGCGCTTCATCCAAGCCTCGTAAACAACTTAAACTGGGAAATGGAATGATATATGAATAACAGACGGATAACGTGCACATAGAAACGGGCAACAGTTTAATGCACTGGGTGATCTTTATAAAGAGACTTCTTGGATGTGTACAAAATAGACGTGTTTCTAAAATGTATAAATGTACAAAGTGTGTCCCAACTCTGTTCCTGAAGGCACACCAACAGTAAACATTTTCACCCTGTCCCTAAACAAACACACCTGAATCAACTCATCAGAACATTAGAAGAGACTCTGAAACCTGAAGTTAATGGGTCAGATAAGGGAGACATCCAAAATATGGTTTGTTGGTATGCCTCCAGGAACAGGGTGAGGAAACGGTAACATTTTAGATTTGCAAAACATTAATAATAATAATGATAAAATTAAAAAAATAATAGAGTTCACACCTCAAGTAGATTATTTTATGTTTTGCAAAAATTGTAACTTACTACACCGTGAAAAATTCTGTGTTCCACACAATCAAATTGTGTTGGAACAACATGAAGGAATTAAGTTTACTTATCAGTTTTTACAAATTTAAGTGGATTGAACAAACAAAACATTACGTTGTGCCCCCAAAATCACAATAATTGTGTTGTTTCAGCACAATTTAAATCTTAATCTTAAATTTTGTAGTCTAAACAAACAGCAAATTTCATTTTTTTAAGAAGTCTACTTCTGTTATTCTAATGTAAAAACGTGAGAACAAAATAAGAATCTAAAATAAAGTCATTTCTGGCATGAAAATAAATACTAGTACAGTTTATACATTATATGTTAAAAATGCTTGCCATACCATGTCCAGCATTACTATTTATACATGTCATAGCGTGGAATAGCTGTCACATAACTACGATTGAGTATAAATCCATTCTCTTCGGCTTTGTAATAAAAATTCACTTTGAGAAAACACAAGCTTAAACCCAGCAAGCAGAAGACAAACGACCTCCTGTCTGTTGATGAAACATATTCATCATATTAGTGTCATGAGCTTCAGAAAGTGTCTTATTAAGCTGCAGCCATAGGGGACATCCTGTGTTCCTAATTTGCGCCCTTTACCCATGAAATACTTCAATCTGACACGAGCCTGCGTGCTCCGTACCTTGACAGGCAAGATGCAGACCGAAAGCAAAATATGCCAGCTGAATCATGCAAGCATGTCTCTGAGTTTATAATATGTGTTATTAATGCTGCCCGCTGTTGTGGACTAGATGTTGGTACCTAAAGTGAGAAATGGACATGACATTTAAACTTGGGCTGCTGGTTAAATTTGTTGGTACGTTAGACTTGATTTAATGCCCAAATATGTACTTTTTCTTAGTTTTTTCTTTTTTATAAATATTTTTTTGGGATTTGGGATTTTCGCCTTTAAAGAATAGGACAGAGACTATGGACAGGAAAGCAAAGAGAGGGGAAGGATCGACATCAAACTTGGGTCGCCATGAGCGTGACTTTTCTTTTTTTCTTTTAATTTATTCTTTTGTAGTTGTTTGTTCCCTCAAAAATCACTGAATGCTGCATTTTTAGTGTTTAAAGCTTTTAGTTGTTATTAAAGTTACTAATTAATTTATTAATAATTTGTTTGCATTTAGGTTTATAATTTATTTGTACTGCATAATTTTTCTCTGAACAAAACCTAAATAGGATTTTTGCTTCTGCAGAAAATAATAGATGTGTAATGATAATCTTCACAAGTTAACATAAATCAAAATCATTTTGAATCACAAATACAAAAGATAAAAAATTACGAAATTATGTTAAAAAACTGCAGTTGAAGTCAGAATTATTAGAATTATCATTTTTAAATATATCCCAGATGATGTTTAACAGAGCAAGGACATTTTCATAGTATGTCTGATAATATTTTTTTCTTATGAAGAAAGTCTTATTTGTTTTATTTTGGCTAGAATTAAAGCAGTTTTAATAAACATTCTAAAGTCAAAACTAGCTTTTCAATTTTTTGATAGTCTACAGAACAAACCATCATTATACAATAACTTGCCGAATTACCCTAACCTGTCTAGTTAACCTAATTAACCTAGTTAAGTCTTTAAATGTCACTTTAAGCTGTATATAAGTGTCTTGAATAATATCTAGAAAAAATATATTTACTGTCATCTTGGCAAAGATAAAATAAATTATAATAATTATATAATTATAAGTTATTAGAGATGAGTTATTAAAACTATTATGTTTAGAAATGTGTTGAAAAAAATCTTTTCTCTGTTAAACAGAAATTAGGGGAAAAAATAAACAGGGGGGCTAAAATTCAGGGAGTTTTATAATTCTGACTTCTACTGTACATGTGACATTAGGGTTTCTTTTGACACTTCATGTGACTTAGAAAGCTTTTGATGTTTGTGGTTGTATTATATGTCACAGAATTGAATTCAATTTAATCATTCATCTTTTTTTCTATTACTAAGACTCTATATTCTGTTTTAGTTTAATCTGTCAAAATAAACAATTAAAATAAAAAATATATTTAAATTTGTTTTTTGAGAAAGAATGTTAAAATCTTGTTAAAGTCTTCATGTATCAGAAGTGGTGACTGTTTTTTTCTTGTATTGTAACAGTTCCTATAGAAACAGAATATTAAATGAGCAAACAGTGGGTGTGGCTTGTTAGTAGTAAGTAGATAGTAAAGTAGGCATTTCTTTCAGAAAGATAGGGAAATGGGTTTTGGGACAGTTACTACAAGCTGACAGACGCCTCCTCCTCAACATTTCTGATCGCTGTCATATCGCTGTCAAGGGGCGTGGCTAAATATGTTATCCACAACCAATACCTTCTTTATCTTAATGATATGCACAGATTAATTATTCAACACAAAACTAGCAGTGTGAGCAAACAAAATCAATGTGGTTAGTTTTGATTTCATGTGTATTCTAAATTTGTTTATGACCTGTTGCAGAAGTGACAGTCGAACCAGATCACATGATGGATGAAGATTGGAAGGATGGAAGTCCTTCTACAAATGGCAAACTCTCTCAGCGCTACTGCCAGATGTGTAAAGCCTGGTTCAACAACCCCGGCATGGCCAGGCAGCACTACAATGGCAAGAAGCACAAAAAAAATGGAGCTCAAGCAAACCTCCTCGCACAGCTGGGTAAAACTCTGGAGGACGGAGAAGAGATGAACGGTATGATCTGAGAGGAACGTGCAAAACAGAAAAAGCATTTCTTTATCTTTTGGCTCATGATGTTACAATCACATACAGCACACGTGTCACACTCAGTTTCTAGAAGGCCACAGCTCTGCACAGTTCCAATCATAATTAAACACGTCTGATCAAACTAATTGAGACCTATAGGCTTTTGTGTTTGATTAGAACACAAAATGATAGGTTTAAACAATGTGGTGGCAGTTCTTTACTAAAGTAACTAAAATAAAAATAGATTCAGAGCTCCAAAAATAACTAAACAATATCAAAAAGTAAAAAAATAAATAAAAAAGGGTTTTTATGTCTGCTGTATCTTCAGCTATGCAATTGCTTTGTGTTATGAAACGTGTATGTTAAGTTACTTCAGAAAGGTTAAGATAGAGCCATTAATTACTTTTCAGACAAAATAATTAGAAAAGCAGAAAACAATTACAAAACAATTAAAATTTATTTTAATGATGTAATTAATTGTATTTAAATTACTTTGTCTCCTTATAAATCTCAATGCATTGCCAACAGAAATGAAACTTTGTTATTTTCATTTCATTAACATGTAAACAAAAAATAAGAAAAGTGAAAAAATATATATATTTTAAGAATTGAAACCATACCTTATATGGACTACATTATTAATTTTACATTATGAGCAATCAAGACAAATGTAAGCTTTTTTTTAGTACAAAAAAATCGCTTGTATATATTATTATATCTTGTATATATATATTAAATTCTAATAAATCTGAATAGTAAATTAACACTCACCGACCACTTTATTAGGTACACCTGTCCAACTGTTTGTTAACACAAATTTATAACCAGCCAATCACATGGCAGCAACTCAATAAATTTAGGCATGTACACATGGTCAAGACGATCTGCTGCAGTTCTAACTGAGCATCAGAATGAGAAAGAAAGATGATTTAAGTGATTTTGAACGTTGCATTGTTGTTGGTGCCAGACGGGCTGGTCTGCAAAATTTCACGCACAGTATTGAGTATTTCACACACAACCATCTCTAGTGTTTACAGAGAATGGTCTGAAAAAGAGAAAATATCCAGTGAGCGGCAGTTCTGTGGTTGCAAATGGCTTTCTGATGCCAGAGGTCACTGATTCAAGCTGATAGAAAGGCAACAGTAATTTAATTAGCCACTCGTACAACCAAGGTATGCAAAAGAGCAACTCTGAACGTACCACACTTCGAACATTTAGGCGGATTAAGGCAGATTTAAAGGAAAAAGGGTCTAAGGTGTACTTAATAAAGTGGCTGGTGAGTGTATATTTCTCTATCTTTCTCTACACAATTAATCCACTTTTCCTAATTTATAATACGTATTGTCATGAACAGATTTCTTACACAATTTATTGTTTCTTTAGCATGTGCAACTGACGTTTTAAATGTAACCTTCTTTAGTTGAAAAAAATAATTATTCTGATAAATATATTTATCTAACAAATAAAAAAATACAATTGCTCTGCTTCTCTGAATTGATTTATACAGAGCTATTGAATTTATTTACAACATTTCAGGCAAGCACTTTTTAAGTTACTAATTAAAAAACTAATTATTTTTTATTAATTACAGTAACTAGTTTACATTTACATTTAGTCATTTAGCAGACGCTTTTATCCAAAGCGACTTACAAATGAGGACAAGGAAGCAATTTACACAACTATAAGAGCAACAATGAATAAGTGCTATAGGCAAGTTTCAGGTCTGTAAAGTCTAAGAAGGAAAGTACTAGTATTTTTTTTTTTTTTTTTGGTGGATGGGGTAAGTTAGTGTGATATCCAGAAAGGCAATTGCAGATTAGGAAGTGAAATGGAGCCTAAATAGTTGAGTTTTTAGTCGTTTCTTGAAAATAGCGAGTGACTGCTGTTCTGATGCAGTTAGGGAGTTCATTCCACCAACTGGGCAGATTGAGCGTGAGCGTGAGCGAAAGTGATTTCTTCCCTCTTTGGGATGGAACCACGAGGCGACGTTTATTCCCAGAACGCAAGTTTCTGGAGGGCACATAGATCTGCAGAAGTGAGAGCAGATAAGGAGCAAGGCCTGATGTCGCTTTGTAGGCAAACATCAGAGCTTTGAATTTGATGCGAGCAGCAACTGGCAGCCAGTGCAAACGGACTAGCGGCGGAGTGACATGTGCTCGTTTAGGTTTATTGAAGACCACTCGTGCTGCTGCATTCTGGAGCAGCTGAAGAGGCTTGATAGAGTTAGCTGGAAGCCCAGCTAGTAGAGAGTTGCAGTAATCCAGTTTGGAGAGAACAAGAGCTTGAACAAGGAGTTGAGCTGCATGTTCAGATAAGAAGGGTCGGATCTTTCTGATGTTATAGAGTGCAAATCTGCACGATCGAGCAGTTCTAGAAAAGTGGTCAGAGAAGTTTAGTTGATCATCAATCATTACTCCAAGGCTTTTCACCATTTTGGATGCAGTAATTGTTGCCCCATCCATCTGGATTGAAAAGTTATGGTGTAGAGTCGGGTTGGCAGAAACTATAAGCATTTTTGTTTTTGCGAGGTTCAGCTGAAGATGATGATCTTTCATCCAGTGTGAAATGTCCAACAGGCAACTTTGTAACTACTTGAATTCTCAATTTTATTATCTTGTTTAGGGAAATTAAAATTGCAGCAAGGTGCCGTAACACAGGCGAAGTTCCACGTACACATTAAAAAAAAATGAGCACAAAACATACAATACATCATTTTTAGGTGCATCTCCCTCCCTGCTGGATTTATTTAATGACCTAATGGCCACCATTATAAAAGAATTTCTAATTCTATCTGTCCTGCAAATAGGAACTCTAAATTGATGTCCTGATGGCAGCAGCTGAAACAGAGTACAATGGGTGATCCGGGGTGCGTAGGATACCCTGAGCTCTCTTTAAAACACAATTATGGTCAATTACCATTGGACCAGTTTTGTTAAAACCGATCGAAGAGTGAACTAAGAGCTAACAGGTCGAGAGACTTTTTATTCTGTAACAGTGGTCGAGAGAGCTTAACGGGCTACGATTTAGAAAACACATGCAATTACAAACAACACCAGCAGATTAAAAAAAGATCTTTATGCATCTGACAGGATATGTGCTGCAAATGCTCACAATGCATAAACATAAAAAAATGCACTGCATTTTCCCACAACACACAAAAAGAACGGAACACATTGGAAATGTTTCAAGGGGACCCAAAAACCTGACGGATGCCGCTGTGCCATAACCAAGTGAAGTTGTGGGTAATCTTTGAAAGGTGAGTTTGTTTGTTTGTTTATTTTAACATCCCAATTCCTGTGTCTTTAGTATTTATTAGCCTAAATAACAATAGCCAAAATAGCCAGGTCCGCCTTGCTTTAGGGTCTCCTTGAAGCATTTTCGTTGTGTTGTGAGAAAATGCAGTGCATTGTAATAAAATGTTTGGGTTGTGAGAAAAAGCAGCACGTTTTTTAAAAATGTATTGTTTTCTTAAATTGCAGCACATTAAGCTCTCCCGGCCACCGTAAAAACAAGTAACAAAAATAATAACCAATTTTTTGTCAAAATCTACCAACTGAGCCACAACTCATATCCATGATTTATTTATTTTTTGGCAGTTCAGATAGTTAGCTAATGCAAGACAAACCACAGATTTAAAAAATCATTCTGTTTTGTTCTGCAATAAAATGAAACTTTTCTAAGCTTGTAAGTACACGAGGCTGAGTAAATGATGACAACATGTTAATTTTTGGCCAAACAATCCCTTTAAAAACACATTCAAGTGAAACAATGTTTGTTTTCAGCAGTTTCCTGTAACGGCTCATGAATAACCTGCTGTAAATGCCACCATTTAAGCACAAATATAATTTCAATGTTGACCATAAACTGTTTACTGGCCACAGTAGAGCGTTTTTTAATGATCCGAGAGTCTTTTCACAAGCCAGCATTTCATTAAAGATTTGCAATATTCAGCATCTAGCTAAAGAGCTTTCCTTTGAGGCACTTATCAATAGGTAATTAATGGCACGATAAGAGCCTCTTAGAGATCTTTGCTCACCAAACAAACCAACAATGGCGGAGACAACAACAAAAAAATCCACCTCGCTACTGAGTTTTGACGCATGGAGGGACGAGATCCACTTCGTGGGAGGTGTTTAGCAGCTGCCGTTTGGCCAAATGTTGGATTTAGACTCAGATTGAAAGTGTCCTGTCCCTCACGTCACACTTCTGACTCACAAATATGACTCACTGCTGCAGTTTTCATGAAGGCTTCCCAGTATGGCACTCTCTGGATTAAATAGAAGCTATTTTTGTGGTTTGCTTGTTATAATGTGGGGACTATGAATTTCGACTATAATAATAGTAATAATAAATATATAATAATAGGATATTTCTGCTTGCAATCAACTGTTTTTGCCAACACTGATCTGTTTTTAAGGTTAAAACTGGATGGATTAAAATATAGCACATGCAGTGCAGCTTTTTGTGTGCTATATTCCAAATCTTCATGCAATAGTTCTGTGTAATGAACCAATCAACAAAGTGTAAAAGATGAACCTTTTAGTCAATCAATTTCTTTAGTTAACAGAATCATTTAAAATGAGTATTTTACTGTCTGTGGCCTATTAGTCACAGTTACACATTATTGTCCTGAATTTAATTGAAATAATGCTGTGAAAGCATCTTAAAAGTGTCAGAAGTTAGGCCTTATATCTTTGAGCACTAAATTCCATGTCTTCTAGCCAGTGATGGGAATAATGGCGCCATGGCATGATGGCAAATCCAACAAGTTCAAAGGTAGTGTTTTCAAACTGGAAATATAAGCACTACTTTCCCTCATTGAGGTGAAAGGCAAGAATGTTTATGTATTGTACAAAGTATGCCCAGGAAGAGCCTCTCTGCGTCAGTGACGAGTAATTCTAATCTAATGAAGCACCTCATGTCGTTAAATCCCGCCACAAAATAAGTGGCTACGCAGGTGATAAAGTAAACTCTGCTACTAAAGGAGG